AGTCACAATATATCGATTTTCAAAAACCAAATATATTCTCTTCTATTTCAATTAAGCACTAGAGCCTGAGACCCAGAAAAGGTCATGATGAAATCTAACCAACCAAATCTGAACTAATTTTTTTTTTTTAACCTATAATGCATTTTTGTAGCACAGTTACCAAATGCTACTTTACATACATTCAACATTTAGTTTACTGGCATGATTTTAAAGTTTTATAAAAATGAGAAAGTTTTGCAGATATATGATTAGAAGGTACACAAATTGCATTACATTAAACACAAAGGCAGTGTGGTCCTTATAGGAGAAATCAAGTCAGTACCCCCTGGTAAAAATGTTCTATAAAAATGTGTCACATTGAAGCATCAGTGTTTTCAGCCAATTATCTGTCCCTGATGTATTTCCTTGGAGTATATGATCTATCAGGACTTCAGGTTTCTTAATCCAAAACATCTGACTGAATTTAGGTACATCTAGAAAGCAGCTGAAAGGGTTTCTCCAATAGTCTGACATCACAGAAAGTAGGTTGAGAAATCCCTTTCTTTACCTGAAGACGTACTTATTCTATTTCAGTCATCATCAGCTCACAAAGGAAAAGAAAGAAAATCAATCAAAACTTCCCCTCACACACACAATCCCACACAAGCTAAACAAAAACCAGTCCCTCCCCCCACACAAAAACCCAGCACCAAAGTGTCAGTCATTCCTGGGAAACAGAACATGCCCCTTGGATTCTCTGATTTGTTGGTTGTTCAAACTTGAAGGACAGAAGTGACCTTATGTCCCTGTAGGGAGGAGGGAAGGCATGTTAATAATGACTATAGAGCCATTGAGAAAGTGCATTATCAATTAATTACACAATCAACTTAGAGCCCTGCCCTCCAATGGAGGTGGCCACAACTTGATTTAAATGCCTCTGTAATTGAACATTTGTGTCCTCTAGATAAAAGATATGGGGGGGGGGGAGGGGGAAAGAGCCACCCTCATTTTAATGAAAAAGTGCAGCAGTCTACCACCTTTCCCCATGCTTCTCCAGAAAATGATTGCACAGACTCAGAGAAATCCAAAGTCACAGCAGGATCTCTGAGGCACTCCTGGTTAAGAGAGAAAAAAGAATGACCCAGTAATTTTCATAGTTCTATAGATTATGAGAACAAACCCGTTTTGTTTTTTTAACGAAAGCCAAAGAATCATTTCATAGGGATCACATACACCATTTCCTCTAAAGTATCCTCAGTCTCACAGTGTTGAAATGGGACCGATCAGCCTACGATGGATTGCACATCACCCAAAGAGAAAGGAAGGCATGGAAAATGGAAATATTTTATACTGCTTCACAAACACATTTACAAGGAATAGGTGAAGAGAAGATATAGGGAAGGGAAAGAAAACCTTATTGCTGTTTCCATACAAAATACAGTATGACTATACCTAAGCTAAATCAAATCTGATTACGATGACCAATACTTTCACAATGTGGGATGAAGTTTCTTCTTGCACAATGAAATGTTCAGTTTAAAAGGTAAGCTGAAAGATGAGAGAGGATGTCAAAACTACACCTGGGATATTAGCTGCATATTGAAACTTGGGGATCGAGACTGCTTGGTTAAAGGAGCTCCTGGGCTGAGGAGCTCTTTACCTTCTCCAGCTTGACCTAGCCGGTCTTCCTGTAGACTGATAGTTGAGTATCGATTAGTATTGTTAGCTGCTAAATTAGTAACTCCCTCAGTGCCAACCCCAATGCTGGTACTTGCTTGACTGCCATTTATATAGTCAAATGATTTACTTGAGGAAGCACTAGCTGTCCGGATTAGACTTAAACTATTGGTTTTTGGCACCACCTGGCCAGCAGGCAGACTCAGGTGTTTCTTCATGGGTGTCAGCTCAATTGAATCTACACTAAGATCCATTGGTTGCTGTACATGCTGCCTGCGAACTACTGAATCTCGAGGGCTCTCATTGGATTTGATGGCAGAGGCTGTTTCTTTGTCCTTGACTGAACGGCCAGTTGCTACTTTCCTTAGGCTTCCCCTCTGAGAAGAGGAGGATGGTTTGGTTCCAAATGGCTGACTGCTGAGGGAAGCCCCTGATGAAAATCCTTCATCTGCATCATTCAGGTTTACCGACTCTTCTCCATTTACACCCTCAGCACCTAAAAAACAAATCAGAAAGACTCAGAGACAGCTAAATCAAATAAGAAGTAGCTGTGAATAAACAACTCAACTGACCTTATCTCTTGGGTAATGTTTGTTATAAGTTGGCAATGGCCCTGCTATCAATACTCCCCCTAAATAATTTAGGGGAAGAAACTTTAACCTACAACAATTCTAATATGTATTCGTTCTGTTCATTTAGCTTTAATTAGTCTAGCTTTTGTAAAACTATCCACAAATGAACTCAGTATACTATCAATATTTAGAAACACAAAACAACTTTAGGTAAAATACAACATTTTGTCATCGTAAGTCTTTATAATCCACCCTTGCCAATTTGAGGGGACTATAGCTATTTAAAAAAACAAAAAATTTTCCTCATAACTCTCTTAACCCACCATAAAAAAACTTCAGTCACCCAAAATAATGCCAAAAACATTAATCCCTACAAGCCAAACCCTTTTTAATTACAATAAAAATTTATATTTATTCAACAGCTAACTGCTTCTAAATGGTTTTAAAACATTTAACATGGAACCAGTAAATTTTCTAACTCTAAATTAAAAAATTCTACATTGCTTCAAGTAACTTCATAATTGTATTTTGTCTTATGGACATATCTACTCACTGGTTTCCATATTTTCTTCATCAGTTAATGTGAAGAAAATACTTGATTACTAGAGTAGGGAACCAACAGGAAAGAATTTTTACTTCTATATTATGTATTTTTGTAATATTTTACATTTTTAGTTTGAGATGTATTATTTTCATAATCACAAAATACTATAGTGACCCAATATGTTTCATGCAGAAACTGCAGTTAATGAAGGAATCCTTATCTTAGGATTTTGTAAGAAGGGGAGAAGCATATATAATATATTTAGCTTGGGTTTCTAGAAAGCCCAATTCTCTTACTGAAAGTATGAACAACATTGTTTTAGAAAGTAATACATTTGCTTCTTTGAAAAACTGATAGCAGTTTGCTATGTCATTAAGTATGTTTACCAGACTGCTAGAAGTTTAATCTGAATTGACATACAGATATCACTATTATAGTTAAGGTAAAATGTTAGCAAAGAAATATAAACAAATATTACTTTGAGATAGGGTTATGTAAGTAAAATATATGTGACATATGTAAACATAATCTTTATTTAACACAGTACCTGGAAAAATAAAAATATTTTCTTAGCACTATTTTTTCATAGGGATTAGTTATTTCCTTCCTTCAAAAGGAGAATGAAATAGGCTATCCTTAAAGCAAAAGGCACCTTGTTTATTATATCCAGCAGTTTAATAATCTTTAATTATCATGCAAAGCCACATGAAAATGCAGCTGACACCATTTCTCTCAACCCCTTGTTTAAAAGAACAGTGTGTAATGTATTTCAAAATAAAAACTTTAAATGATATTCATATGATAGCATCTTAAAATTTACTTACAATTTGTACAAAGAACTAAAAAATATCCAAAAAAGGATAGTTAATGGTTCAGGACTGAATATAAAACTGGGAGTGAACAGAAATGTATTATTGGGTATATATATAATTAGGAAAGGAGACTGAGAGACTTAGTGCTAGCTTCTGAATCTTGCCACATGCAGATCTGATGCCCAAGCAATATGGCCATAAAAGAGATGATGATAACATAAAAGCCACCATGCAAGAGAATCTATTGATATTTTATATACTAAGAAATGTTTTTTCAATATAGTGGAACATGGACTGTACTTTAATCACAGGCATCCTCAGTTTAACAATTTTAATTCCAGCTTTAAAAATAACAAATAAAATGTTACTTGACAATCAGGATAAAGGTAGGTGGATGGGCTCATATTCCCTTCAATTTCAACATATAATAAATACAATATTAATTGTAAAACTATTTAAAACTACTATACTAAAAAACACGTTTTCTTTTTTTTAAAGGTCAATTATCAACATTTATTCAAAAGCTCCAGCAGACCAGAATTAACAAAACTCTACAGAAGTTTCAGTAATTTGCTTCCTTCTGTTTAAAAAACCTCAAGGAATAAAAAGGCAATTGTGTCTCACAACTTTTTTCCTTCCTAATTTTTTCCCTGGGTGGTAACAATACCATTCATGATCCAAAAAAGAGACAACCAAAAAGGATATTTAGTCAACTTTTCATTCATGTCTGCCTTTTCTTATAAATTCAGCTTCTACTAAAACTGATTTAAAGCTACAATTAATCTAGATTAAAAGGCAAGATAATTTTTGAAAAATTTCAAACACACAGAAGGAACTTATCCCTCTTTCGTTGTAGCTATACCCCACCCTCACAAACTGAAATTTTCTACCAGTGATATGTTAAAATAGAATATTTTACTATTTAATAGGATATTAAAAAGGGAACTATTTTGGTTCCTTTTTCAAAGTGTACGACTTTTGATAAAATGGAAGAAATGTTTCAACCTTATCCCACACTTTCTAGAATTTCATTAAGTGTTAATTAACATAGCAGTACTACGGTTAACACAAATACTCCAACATTCTAACAATGGTAGTAGATACACAATCAAGTGGCTCCTTAAGTCATCTAGAATGTTGAGAAATAGGATGTTGTTCAATTTAGGCCAAGTCTGGGTTCAACATCTATTCATATACTTATTTTTATGCCTTTGTACAAGATAAAACTGACTCCTATGGATAACAGATACAGAAAAAACGAAAAGGGAAGGCTGCATCTTTCACAGGATCTCTGCAAAACAACACGAAGTCTTTGGGTCACCTAGATCATGCACATGCAACACTGTTCAATGAAGTAAGGTCAATCTGGGCAAATGGGCAAGGGAACAGAGGATAGATTTAGATTCTTACTGAGCATGCTCAAATTTTAAATGCACCAAAGAGCAAGAGAGTTCCTTAAGGTGGAAGGTAACTGCTTCATGAATGTTTGGTCTTTGAAATAAGTAAAAATATGTAACCTATTTTAAAACTACTTGCTTTATTTCATAAATTAGTGAAAAATTTCCACAGTAGCAATACATTCAATGATGAAAAAACAATTAGGCTACAGTACCCCCTTTCACAAAGCCAACTCCAATGGCATCGCATGTAAAGCAGCAAATAAACACTTTCCTACCAGACAGAAGTGTTCTTTTATAGATAGCGGCGGCAGTGGAAGTTTGGGGTGGGGTGGGGTAGGGAGAATTCTCATTTTGAGATACCTACATTGTAAAACAAGGATCTACTAGGATACCTGACCTCTAAATAATACATTTCGATTCTGTTTGGGAGCTATATAATACAATTGTTATTTATAATAAATGATAAAATGTAGTGTGCACCGGATAGTATATTTATAGAGGAAAGATGTCAATAGTTCATTAGTTAGAGCCAGGTGATTTGACCCACAGATTATAAAAAGCCAATCAATACCAGTTTACTCTATCGAAGACATAAGAAACTCTTAATTGACCACCCTGGGATTAGAGATAAATCTCTGGCTCCACTGTAGTCCAATTTCTCAAAGATAATAACGTTTTAAAACTCTCCTCACATATTTTTAGAGAATAAATTATAATATGAATTAAATCAATTCATATTGACTAATGAGGCTCATCTCCATTGGGTGCATTTTTCCTTTCCTAATGTTAGAATAAACATGCTCAGTAATGAAAAAATTCCAAGCATTTGCAGGCCTGTTGGAGACAGGCCTCTGCCTTGTTAGTAGCCATGCCAAGCTGTTCTTTGATTACACAGGGATGCAGATTCCAGGCCAGCACAAATGGTAACTAAAGATTGTACCTGACCTGCCACTAAGAAATAGGGGGTTGTGCTTAGCAAGGAGGAGCTAATATACTCTGGAGTAGTGCAAACACACGCTAAAATGGAAAGATGTTCTGCTTGGGGACAGAGAACCGGGATCCTTCTCCAGCAACTGCCTCACTGACTTCTGCCTCCTCATCTCTGTCCTACCCTCTGTTGTGGCTGCTGCTGAGTTGGGCTCCGGTGAGCCGTGCTCAGGGGTCCTGCGCACCAGCACCTCCCCCTCTTGAACACGTTTGATCCCTAGGTCAGTGGAGCCGTGTTGGATCGGGGAGCCAGGAATACTCGAGTCAGCCTCGTTTGAGAAGTCAAAGCCATCTGGGATTCAACATATAAGATTTTAGTGCTTTTGTGCTGCTCTATTCTTTGAGCATTCTGACCCAGGCAGATAAGAGAATGTATATATGGATATGATATAAACACAAATACTATTTAATAGTTACATGTGTGTGCACAGCATACACACACATAAGGCAGCAGATGAACAATGGGAGGTTTGCAAATGAATAGGGCAGAAAAATAGGGACCATTAGAATTTCAATTAATATCTTTTAGGCAAGACAGCTTGACCATTCAAGTACCATATACCTATGAAATACTGCTGGATTCAGCACTTACTGAAAAAAAAAAAAGCAAAGACAAAAATCTGAAAACTGTAATCAACTCTTTTATGGATAGCTTATATTATTATACCATTAGATTGGCTAGTTATATCATTTTCTCCCACAATGCTCATACAAGCACCTTTTTTTCCCCGTAAGGTAACACGCTTAAAGAAACTTCTTTCCTATTGTTATTACTAGTTCAAAAACAAAACACAAAAATCAACTTGATCTTATTCTCTGTTGTAACATTCATAGAGCATTCTAAATAACATCTTTCTACTTTAAAAAAATGTATATTGGGCCGGCTGAGTGGCGTGTTGGTTAAGAGCTGGCTGAGACGCTGACTCTGAGCAGCAGGGCCCCGGTTCGGATCCCACATGAGGACCAGTGACACTGCCCCCCACAGCTAAGATGCTGAACAACAGCTCAACCTGGAGCTGGGCTGCCGTGAGTCGCCGGCGACGGCGTAGGCTGCAGCCCCTGTTGCAGTGGGTTGCCATGGGCTACCGTGTGTGGCCGGCAGCCAGCGTGAGTGGCCAGCAGCTGATGTGAGCTGCCAAGAGCCACTGTGAGCGGCCATCCAGAGGCCGGCGACTGATCTGCCTCATCCAGGAAGAGCGCAATGATGATACCAACATGGGCCAGTGAAGCAACGTCCTCCACAACTAGACTGAAGAACAAAAGGACAAAAACTTGGTTGTTCCCCTTCCCCCAATTCCCCAGCGCTGTTCCTCTCCCTCAATTCCCCAATAAAAATCTTAAAAAAAAAAATTATATTAAAAGAAATTTAGGCATTTAAACCACATTTCTAGTGCTACCTTTATAAACTGAACGATTTTACTTTAATTATATAGAGTACTATAATATCATGTGTTAATATAGCTTATAAAAACAGTGATAAATTTACATGAATCCATGAGTAGGCTACAGGGTGTACTCACCTTCTCGCCTCCATCTGTGGCGACGGATGGAAGCTGTTGTAATTGCAGTCCGAGAAATCCTCGGTACTGTTGGAGTCACTTCCACTTTAAGAACTTTCTGGCCTTCTTGTGAAGAATCAGGAGCATCAAATGGTAATGAGTTTTTCATGGCATTGGCAACCTAAAATGATAATATAGGTCTATACATATTTACACCCAATATATTTATTTTACACTTCATGTTTCCATGATTTTTTAAAAATGTATTTAAGACTTGTAGTATAAAAGTACCATGTGGCAGATATGTTTGTATCTCCACTGTTCTGTATTCTTCTAGGCAGTCTTTTTAAATGAGAATTTATTTTTAAAAATGTGTGTCACCCCACCAATTCCTTGGAGTTATTGACTTGCAAAGAGAAAAAGCATTCCAAAGAAGGAAAAATTGTTTAACATTTAAACCCTGACATAAGAAAAAGTGGAGTCGGTTTCTGGTTCTTCAAATGATAAACAACATGCAAAATTTAATCTCTAATAAAAAAAATTAAGCATTTTCTCCACTCCTTTGTTTCCCTAAGAGATTTTCCCCAAACATGTCTGGCATTTTGTCCTATCACTTTCTGCTCTCTATGGAGGAGAGTAAAATATCTGGTTGGAGAGTAACTGCATTCACTAGTCCATATTTCTTAACTGGGTATTGCTAACTTGGCAAAAATCCTGAGATAGAGGATTGTTTTTCTCCTCCCTCTGCACTTGGACAAGGACAAGTGGAATGTATAACAACCTGGAATCAGTGTGCCTGTTCTACCAACTCAAACATTCTCTCCACCAAGGTCCAGACTGAGGGGTGGGGTGGGGAGCTAGGTCTTTCAATTTATCCTTTATCAGTAGTAAAGACCAGGGGTCGGCAAACTTTTGAGATGAAATGTACCCAAAGTGCCGCATGTGGCTGGCAAGCCGCAGTTTGCCGACCCATGGTAAAGATGATGCTTGTTTCTCTATTTGCCAACTATTTTATCTATTTATCAGCTGGCTATAGATTTGAATAGAGAAAAGGAGTGCTATTTATTGGGTCTCTCAAAGACCATTAATAATATAGAACTAGTCCAGGACTAGAGATTACTAATCTCTTTACCTATATTGCCGTCGAAATGCCCCTCTACTTAATTTATAAAACTGTCGCCAAGATAAAAGTATGAATTTAAAGAGTCTCATAAATGCAAGGTATTATGATGATGATGTAACTGTTTAATCTTGTTATCCATTTGTTTTCATGCAACCCTTAGCGTAAAATTAGGGATGATGATATTAGAAAAAAATGGAAATTAAAATATTAAAGAATTATTGTAAATGCTATCTTAATAGATTTCTATTTAGCTCAAAATAAAAGATATGAAAAAAGGCTTTAAAAATTATACTCCTAAAGTACTGCAAGTAAAAATACATAAATAATATTTTAAAAATACCATTATTAAAATACTACAAAAAGCTTAGAAACACAGAAAATTGCAAAGAAAAAAAATAATTTACAGTCAAATCACCTAGGTAACTATTAGCATTTTGTATATTTCCTGTGTTCTATCTGGATTAAAAAAATAGTTGTAAAAAAAATAGTTGTATAGTGCTTTATCACTTAACACAAGCTAGCATCTTTCTTTAATATACATTTGCAAATATATAATTTCATCAAGTAAATATCATATAACTTAATCATTCTCTGCTGTCGCACATTTAAACTGTTTTGATTCCTTTGCAATTAAAAATAACGCTAGGGTCTGCCGAGTGGCGCGATGGTTAAGAACTGGCTTGGGATGCCAGAGGGCCCTAGTTCGGATCCGACATATGAGGGCCAGTGACACTGCCCTCTACTGCTAAGATGCTGAACAACAGCTCAACCTGGAGCTGGGCTGCCGTGAGTCGCTGGTGATGGCGTAGGCTGCAGCCCCTGTGGCAGTGGGTTGCCATGGGCTACCGTATGTAGCCAGCAGCCAGCTTGAGCGGCTAGCAGCCGCAGTGAGCGGCTATCCAGAAGCCGGCGACTGATGTGCCTCGCCTGTGAAGAGCGCAATGATGGTGCCAACTTGGGCCAGTGAAGCAACGTCATCCACAACTAGACTGAAGAGCAAAAGGACAGCAACTTGTCTGTTCCCCTTCCCGCAGTTCCCCAGCACTGTTCCCATCCCACCAATTCCCCAATAAAAATCTTTAAAAAAAAACCAAAAAACAAAAAACAAAACACTAAATGGGCTGGCTGGGTGGCTCAGCTGGTTAGAGCGCGAGCTCTGAGCAACAGGGTTGCTGGTTCAATTTCCACATGGGCCAGTAAGATGCGCCAAAGCTGAGTTGCCGGTTTGACTCCCGCACAGGATGGTGGGCTGTGCACCCCCCAACCCTCCTCCCTGCAACTAAGATTGAACACGGCATCTTGAGCTGAACAGCTGAGTAGCTGAATAGCTGCTCAGCTGGTAAGAGCGTATGCTCTTAACAACAAGGTTGCCGGTTCGACTCCTGCATGGGATGGTGGGCTGCGCCGCGCCCCCCCCCACACCACCTCCAATGAGACTGAAAGCGGTGACTGGACTTGGAGCTGAGCTTGCGCCCTCCACAACTAAGATTGAAGGACAACAACTTGACTTGGAGCTGATGGGTCCTGGAAAACCACAATGTTCCCCTTCCCCAATTCCCCAAAACTGTTCTCTTCCCAATTCCCCAATAAAATCTTTAAATAAAAAAAAATAAAAAAGTAAACATTGTCACTTACCAATAGTGGTTGAGAAAAGAGTTCTAGCTGAGCTCTATAAATGATGTCATCAAGGACTTCCTGGCCAAGGTCCCACTGTCCATTATACCTAAGGAGAAGCAGGTTGTTTACTATCTTTAGCAAATATCTCTAATATTCAACAATTTTTTTATTGTTCCAAGTCCTACTATTTTGGTTCTGAAACAAGATTTTCACATCAGTTTTTACATCATTTCATTTCTAGCCCATCCTAATTTGATTACAAGATATTAAGATTTAAAATAGTTTACAGGTATATCTTCACATAAGTTGGTTTTTATCATGTGTTGATATTTAGGGTAATCTATTCAATGCATTCATGAAAACCTGGGTTATAAACTATATATAGAGAGACAGTTTTTGATAAAGAAACCTGATAATTTCTAGACTCTAATAAGTAGTTATATTTTGGCTATTTTAAAAGCACTAAAAAGACTATGAACAATAATACACCAACATATTGGACAACCTAGAATGAATAAATTCCTAGAAACATACAACCTACCAAGACTGGATCATGAAGAAATAGAAACTCTGAACAGACCGATTACTAGTAAGGAGATTGAAGCAGCAATCAAAAACTTCCCAATAAACAAAAGTCCAGGCCCAGATGGCTTCATGGGTGAATTCTACCAAGCATTTAAAAAAGAATTAATGCCAATCCTTTTCAAACTCTTCCAAAATTCAGAAGAAGAGGGAACATTTCCAAACTCACTTTGAGGCCAGCATTACCTTGATACCAAAACCAGACAAAGACACTACAAGAAAAAAAAATTACAGGGCAATATCCCTGAAGAACAAAGACGCGAACTTCCTCAAAAACAGTATTAGCAAACCTAATTCAACAATACATTAAAAGTATTATATACCATGATCAAGTGGGATTTTTTCCTGGGATGCAAGGATGGTTCAACACCTGCAATTCAATCAATTTAATACACTATATCAACAAAATGAGGGATAAAAATCATATTATTATTATCACAATGGATGCAAAAAAAGCATTTGACAAAACTCAACATCCATTCATGATAAAAACTCTCAACAAAGTAGGTATAGAGGGAACATATGTTAACATAATAAAGGCCATACATATGACAAGTCCACAGCTAACATCATACTCAACAGTGAAAAACTGAAAGCTTTTCCTCTAAGATCAGGAACAAGACAAGGATGCCCACTCTTGCCACTTTTATTCAACATTGTGTTGGAACTCCTTGTCAGAGCAATTAAGCAAGAAAAAGAAATAAAAAGCACCCAAATCTGAAAGAAATAAGTAAAACTGTCTCTATTTGCAAATTACATGATATTACATATAGAAAACCCTTAAGAGTCCACCAAAAAGGTGTTAGAACTAATAAATGGATTCAGTAAAGTGGCAGGATACAAAATCAATATACTAAAATCAGTTGCATTTCTATACACTAATAACGAACTGTCAGAAAGAGAAATTAAGAAAACAGTCCCCTTTACAATTATATCAATCAATCAATCAATCAATCAATCAGTAAATAAACACCTAAGAATAAATTTTACCGAGGCAAAAGACCTGTACACTGCACACTTAGTTTTTATATATTGATGAAAGAAACTAAAGAACACAAATAAATGTAAAGATATTCTGTGCTCATGAATTGGAAGAATTAATATTGTTAAAATGTCCACAGAAGGCAATGTACAGATTCAATGTAATCCCTATCTAATTTCTGATGGCATTTTTCACAGAAATAGAACAAACAATCCTAAAATTTGTATGGAACCACAAAAGACCCTGAACAGCCAAAGCAATCTTGAGAAACAAGAACAGGCTGGAGGCATCATGCTTCCTGATTTCAAATTATATTACAAAGCTACGGTAACCAAAACAGTGTGGCACTGACATAAAAACACACATAGATCAATGGAACCGAATACAGAGCCCAGAAATAAACCCACGCATATACAGTCAATTAAGTTATAATAAAGGAGCCAAGAATATACAATGGGGAAAAGACAGTCTCTTCAGTAAATGGTTTTGGGAAAACTGAACAGCCACATGCAAAAGAATGAAACTGGATCACTATCTTATGCCACACACAAAACTCAACTTAAAATGGATTGAAGACCTGAATGTGAGACCTGAAACCACTCCTAGAAGAAAACTTAGGCGTTACGCTCCTTTGACATTAGTCTTGGCAATGATTTTTTGGATTTGACACCAAAAGTAAAGGCAACAAAAGCAAAAATAAACAAGTGGGGCGGGGTTACATCAAACTAGAAAGCTTCTGCACAGCAAAGGAAACCATCAACAAAATGAAAAGGCAACCTATGGAATGGGAGAAAATATTTGCAAATCATGTATTTGATAAAAGGTTAACATCTAAAATATAGCAAGAACTCATAACGTTCAATATAAAAAAAAAACCCAAATAATCCAATTAAAAACGTACAGAGGATCTAAATAGACCTTTCCCCAAAGACATACAAATGGCCAACAGGTACATGAAAAGGTGCTCAACGTCACTAATTATCAGGGAAAGGAAAACCAGAACAATTAGATATCACCTCACAGCTGTTAGAAGGGCTTTTATCAAAAAGACAAGAAATAACAAGTATTAATGAGAATGTGGAGCAAAAGAAACCCTGTGTACCACCGGTGGGAATGTCAATGGGTGCAGCCACTATGGAAAACAGTACGGAGGTTCCTCAAAAAATTAAAAGTACAACTACCATATGATCCTGCAATTCAACTTCTGTACATCCAAAGGAAATGAAATCACTATCTCAAAAAGATACCTGCACCCCCATGTTCATTACAGCATTATTTACAATACCCAAGATATGGAGACAACCTAACCTAGGTGTCCATTGGCAGATGAATGCATGAAGAAAATGCTGTGTGTGTGTACACACACACACACACACACACACACACACACACACACACACGTATATATTTTACACCCCAAAAAAAAAAAAAAAAAGGAAATCCTGCCATTTGTGACAACATGGAAGGACTTTGAAGGCATTATGCTGAGAAATAAATCAGACCAAGAAACACAAATACTGTATGATCACTTATATGTAGAATTTAAAACAAAAAACCCCCCCCCAAACTCAGATACAGAGAACAGATTGGTTTTTGCTACAGGTAGAGGTTGTGGGGGGCAGTGCATGAAGTAGGTGAAGGAGGGCAAAAGGTACAAACTTCCAGTTGTAATGTGTGGTGATGGATGTTAACTAAACTTCTTGTAATAATCATTTCACAATATAAAATATAACTAATCATTATATTGTACACCTAAAACTAATACAATCTTATATGTCAGTTATATCTCAATAAAAATTGCCTTCAATAGTTATTATATTCATTAAAAAAGTACTAAGAGGAGTTCATATTAGAAAAACAAAGATAATGGGTCCATCATGGAACAAAAGATTCAGTGTGGTGCAAGTGATAAGGAAAAAAGAGAAATAGTAAGTTTCCAAATGTTAGAAACAATTCACCAAATTTCATAGTCTACCTACTTACATGGCATAATAAACCCCTGTGAGAAGTTGTACCATAAATTCAGGATCCAATACTATTCGACCACAGAGTTCTTTCCAGGGTTTTTCATGTTGCCGGGGAAACCCACTCACACAAACCCTAGGAAAATACAATGTTTATCATGAGTGATTTCCTGTTTTATTGAATCAAATATTTTTGCTTTCATAAATTCATTTATTCAATTATTTACTTCTCAAACATTCACTGAGTACCTGCTATGTGCCAGTCACTGTCCTGGCCTAGGCATATAGTTGTGAACAGGCAAAAAAACCCCAAAAAACAAAAATAAAATCTGTGCCCTCATAAAACATACATTCTACAATAGTGGACTATATCAGTAAAAAAAACCTTTCACAAATAACAGAGTCTTTCAAAATCATCCCTCTTCACAAAAGAAATGTATCACTTTCATGTATCCCGAATTGTATAAGTATGAATTAGTGGGAGATACAGAAATTTCAATGCAAATAAAGGGACATTTCAAAATACTGATGTCTGGGGCCAGCCGAGTGGCACGTTGGTCAGGCGTTGGCTCTGAGCAGCAGGGCCCCGGTTCGAATCCCATATGAGGGCCAGTGGCGCTGCGCCCTCTACAGCTACGATGGTGAACAACAGCTCGACCTGGAGCTGGGCTGCCGTGAGTCGCCGGTGACGGCGTAGGCTGCAGTGGGGCTGGCTGGGAGCGGGCATGAACTGCCGTGAGCTGCTGTGAGCGGCAATCCAATGGCTGGCGAGTGACTGCCTCACCCGGGAAGAGCGTTAATGACAGTACCAACATGGGCCTGTGAAGCGACATCCTCCACAACTAGACTGAAGAACAAAAGGACAGCAACTTCTCTGTTCCCCTCCCCCAATTCCCCAATAAAATCTTTAAAAAAAAAATACTGATGTCTGTGAGGCCATTTTTAATTAAACCACCCATAAACAATTCTCTACCTTCCATTTCCTTAAGAGATGTTTCCAGAAAAGTTATGTTTAATAATTATCAAAAGTTGTAATACCTATATTATTTTAATCAATTATTTCATTAAAATAATTGTAATGGTGAGTCCAGAAGAAATTTTTTAGTTTTTAGTTTTTATTGCATCAGTCTCAGGAAAAATTTTAAATTTCAGTGTATATATATATATATATTTGCAGCAGAGATGTATACTTAGGTGCTGTATACATTACCTAATACTCTGTATTAGCAGAGATGTATAATTAGGTGATCAATAAAAGACAAGCATAAAATAGCATATTAGAATAAAGTATGTGGGTAAAATATAATGGAATTCAGTTTTAAGACGAAAAATATCAGCCTATTAAAGAAGAGATTGTTCATTTATTCCTCAAATGGATAACGGTGGATATCAGATCATTGTGGTATTTATATTATATACATTTAAAATATTGACCCAACCATTATTTGTTTTATTATGTCAATATTTACATACTGGAAATTATGTCATTTGCTACTATTTAAGACAGGATAAAAAATTTTAAATGTTAACTTAAAAATGTGCAAGGGGTACATAGTTTTTCAAAATTCTTTAAGGGATAAGTGAGTTTGAGGACCATTAAACTCTGCCATCACTTTTGTTGTTAAGAAACTTTATTAAATGCTACAATAATGTTGCCAATTAGAGATTTAGATTTGTTTTAATGAACCAAAAATAGTCGCTTATAAATAAATTTATCTGTAGATAGACTGTAAGTGCTTAAACAGTGTATTCTCTTGAGAATAGTATCTAGGTTAGAGACAAGAACTTAGTCATTAATCATGTTATTACAGGCACATGTAAATAGTACACTTATTTTAAGATATTCTATAAAATCAGCTAATTTGGGTTGGCCTTCCCCCAATTAGCAAAATTGAGTTTTGTTATATAAACAGGACCACACACTCTTCCCAGTAACACTAAACAATGAACTTGAGCAAAGCATTTCTGATGAACAGATCCATGAGGGCTGTGACCTAGGTATATGATCCCTCCTTCGTGGTATTCACACCCTGTGTCATTCCCTCTTCTTGAATGTGGGTGGGACCTGTAATTTGCTTCTAACCAATAGAATATGGCAAAGGTGATGGGATTTCCATGACTCCTGTACTTGATTATGTTATTTAAGAATGCAGTGCAGGTCTTCCTGGACTCTCTCACTCCTTCTCTACTTGAAAGAAGCAAGCTGCCATGTTGTAGGCTGCCTATATTGGGAGGTCCACATGGCGAAGAACTAAGACCAGTCTTCAGCAGACAGACAACAAGAAATCGAAGCCCTTAGTCCTACAACTACAGGAACTGAATTCTGCCAACCAAAGTGTTTAATTCCTCAATCGAACTTCAGATAAAACTGCCAACTCCAGCCATCTTAACTGCATCTTTGTAAGACCCTAAGCAAGAATCCAGCTAAGTCATGCCCAGACTCCTGACCCACAGACACTGTGAAATAATAAATGGGTGCTATTTTTTTAAAAATTTTATTGGGGTACAGTGTGTTTTGCCAGGACCCATCAGCTCCAAGTCAAGTAGTTGTCTTCAATCTAGTTGTGGAAGGCACAGCTCACTGGCCCATGTAGGAATCAAACCAGCAACCCCGGTGTTATGAGCCCATGCTCTAACCACCTGAGCCAACCGGCCACCCAAATGGGTGCTATTTTAAGCTGCTAAGTTTGTGGCAACAGAAAACCAATACAGCTTTTAACCCTTTTGGGCAGCTCAGTTTCCTCAAGTAAAAATCAGTTGGACAGGATAAACTCAGGGTTTCTTCTATTATTGAAATTCTGTGACTAAATGTCCTCTGTCTCCAAAATGATTTATATTTACATTACTTGAATTTTCTTTCAATAGTGGATGTTTAAATTTCAGTCCAGGTCTGTACAAATGATTAGAAATTCTGATTTAGTAAAGATTAGAACATACAAGTACAAATGAGACACATAGATAATTGGTACTATTGCTAATTTTCTTAACCAAAACAGAGACACTTATTTGTGAAATACATAAAAGGTTCACATTCCTTAAAACTTTCTTCACATATAGGACTATTTATTCAAAGCTCTCAGAATGATCTATAAAAATTGGCATCGGGGCAGTGATTAGGTATATCACTAAACTACCTTAAACTTAAGACATCTTGGCTTAAATTGATGTTCAGCTAGAAAACACTTTTTTAATGCTGAAATATTTTCAGGAAGTCATGATGCATGAGAAATAAGGATTTCTACAGGAATGTAAGCCCCACGAGTTTTATTTACTGCTCTATCACCAGAAGTCAGAACAGTGCCTACTATAGAGAATATGCTCAATAAATATTTGTCAAATAAATAAATATGAAGGTTAATGATTATTATTCTCACCTGGAGCCCATCTGACAAAGAGATTGGTAAGATGAAGCAGGCATATACACAATAGCAGAATTGTAACACAACATGAGAAAACTCAGGACTTCAAACCTAGAAAAAAACAAAAACAAAGGTAAAGGATGATTTCTTCCTTGTATGGTTGTAACAATGCTTTAATATTGACTTTCATGATTTCTCAATCAGATTACTATAGTATCCTCCTCAATGAGTTCCCTGTTTCCATTTTCTTTTTTAAAGGTCATATCCCTGTTTCCATCTATATGTCCTTCCTCAAAAAATAAACCATCATGTATGAACAGATGACTCCCTATCTACATTAGTTCACTGTTCCTATTGACTGCATGATAAAATCCAAACTCAGTACACAAGGTCCTTTAAAATCCACCCTCAACCTACATCTCCAACCTTCCCTTCCCTCTACTACCTATCACATACACCACACTACATCAGTCTTCTTACTGCTCCATGAAGATGCTACAACCTTTCATAATTACTTGCTTTTAATGCATGCTGTCTTTCTTACTAGAACATACCTTTTCACTTGGGAAACTCCTGCTAAGGTTTGAAGTCCTGGCTCAAATTTTTACCTTAGACATAAAGCTATTCTTAATTCTCCAAGCTAAAGGGAATGTTCCCTTATCTGTGTAGCTCTAAGTGTCTAAAAATGTGGCCCCTAAACTTAGATGCACATTACAGTTATTTAAGGACCTTTTGGAAAAAATATATTCCTGTGTCTCAATCCAGACAGACCCAATTAAAAGCTCTGGGGTGTAGGGCCCAAGGAATTTGTTCTTTTAAAAAGCTTCCCATAGGGTAGTGAAGAGTACATGGAAAGTCTCTGGGCCATTTTTGCAAGTCTGAAATTATCTCAAAATGAAAAGCTAAAAACTGAGTTGCAAGTCTGACTCGGAAGCAGTCATATCTTCAGATCCCTTCCTCATCTTTATGTTGCTAGGTTTATTGAAGATTTATTTTCTGAAAGAATAAAAGAGAAATTTCTACCTAGGAACCACCAGGCCCTACTGTGGTTTTGGGCAAAGGGCTGGAAGGGAAAGATACCATACTGTGAACAGGAAGATGATGTGAAACATGCTTCACTGGAAATTGAGACCTTAAGCTTTCTTTCCTCACTTGGCCACCGGAAAGCTAGCAGCCAGCCCTCTAGTTAACAGACTACAAAAGTTTTCTCTAGGGAACCTGACCTCTGTAAGAGGAAAGATTTAAAGATATGGATTTAGGAAGCTGCTCAAATAAATGGCCCAATGAGAAGTTGTTAAGTTCATGGTCAACTAGCCCTACTAGTATGAGTATGGTCAGCGCTCTCATTTTTTATTACCCTACTCTTAAATATAAGGGGGAAATAAAGGATTATCAGACATCTGATGAACACCACCAACATGAAAAAGAGATCAAAATAAATAAACAGGAAAAAAAAGTGAAATTTGGAGGAAACAGAATATACAAAGAAAAAACACAACTTTGAATAAAGCAAATTATCATTCTCAAAAAATATGAGATGCTTCTTAAAAAAACAGGGTCTCTTTTAATAGGCCATTCATAAAAAAAGTTTCTAGATACAAAATATGATTGCAGAAATTAAAAACTCAAAAAAGAATTGGTGGATGAAGTTGAGGATATACCACAGAAAGTAAAGCAAAAGGAAAAAGATACGGCAAATAGGAGAGGAGAGATGACCACTCCAGGAGTTTCAACATCCAAATAATAAAAGCTCAAGACAGATAATAAAAGATCAGATCAAATGGAGAGGCCAAGCTAATTAACAAAAATAATTCAAGAAAATTTCTCAGCCTGAAGGACAGGAGTCTCCAAATCAAAAGGGTCCATGTAGTGCTCAGCACAATGGAGAAAATAAACCCACACCAAGAAATATCACAGTGGAAATTTCAGAATACTAGGAACAAAGAATGAGAATAATAGGGTACAGGAAACAGGATAGCCACACAGGAAAAAGACCAAGGGAATTCCCAGGATAACTCTGAAGGGATATTCCCAAGATAATCAATGTACACCAAGCAAAGAGGGCAACATAATACAGATTGAAGTAAGTCAAAAGGCTCTGGGAGCCCCTTTTTCAGGAATATAAAATGTAGAGAATAATTGATGTGAATTAAGACTTTAAAGGAGAGTTAGGCAACTGATAGAGAATTTGCAGGGGTTGGATTACAAATCACAGAATAAACAAAGAAAAAAAACCAAGGAAAACAAAAATATATGAAGGAAAGGAAAAGTAATCAGTTAATCACAAAGCTCAGCAGCACTGATTAACTCTGCATAAACCACAGTCATTCAAAATAATGAGAAATCTGAATAATAAATTCCTCACAATTACAACATTGAAAGGATAGGAAAATGAGAGAGGTAATGAGCTAAATCATAATCTTTCATAGAGATACAGTATTAGTTAATGCCCAAAACAGAAAAATTAAGCAGCAGCAAGTTACTCAAAGAGATGGAGGTAAATATGTACATAATCATTTAAAAGCAAGATTTTTCAACCTCAGCACTATTGGCATTTTGGGTGAGATAAGTATTGGTTGTGGTGGGCTGGCCAAGGCATTGTAAACTGCCTCGACACAAGATACTTGTAGCATCCCTCCCTCCAACCCAGTTGTGATAATCAAACAAGTCTCCAGACATTGACAAATATTCCTGGGGTGAGGGTGGGGTGCGGTGGTTGGGGAGAGAACTGCCCTGGTTGAGAACCACTCGTTAAAAGTATTACATCTGGGAAAGGAGAAATAGTAGGGAGGGATAGCTGGAGAACGGTTTTTCTCAATAAAGTATGTAGAACTAGTGCATATTAACTTTGAAAAAATATACTATATGTGTTTGCATATGTGTGTTCCCGATAGTCAATGTATTATAGGTTGACTGTATAAAAAACTAAAATATACAGCAAAAACGAAACAATAGCACAATGAGGTACAACTCTTCACTACCATTAAAATGGCTATAATAAAAAAGATGAAAAATAAGTGTTGGTGAGGATGTGGAAAAACTAGAACTATCATACACTGCTGGTGAGAATACAAAATGGTACATTCATTATGGAAAATAGTATGACAGTTCCTCAAAAAGTTAAGTATTCAATTACCATATGACCCAACAATTCTACTCCTAGGTATATATACCCAAAAGAACTGAAAACATATGTTCACACAAAAGCTTATAAACAAATGTTCATAGTAGTATTATTCATAGCCAAAAAAGTACAAATAAACTAAATGACTCTCAACTGATGAACGTGTAAATAAAATGTATATCAATATAATGGACTATTATTCAGTCATACAAAGAAAGACATACACACGACCACATGAATGAACCTGGAAAACATGCTAAGTTAAAGAAGCCAGACACAAACGGCCACATATTGTATAATTCCATTTATATGAAATGTCTAGAATAGGCAAAGCCATAGAGATAGAAAGTTAAGTACATGGTGACCAGGGGCTGGGGGAAAAGAAAGGGGAGTTTCTTTTTGGTGTAATGAAAGTGTCCTGGAATTAGATAGTGGTGGATAATTAGATTAGGTAGTGGTAGTGGCTGCACAATATTGTGACTAAACTAAAAAAACCCCCCAAAAAACCACCATACTGAATTGTACACTTCAAAGGGTTGAATTTATGGTATGTGAATTATATTTCAATTAAAAATAAAGTCAATAATTAGCTGAAAATGTGTAAGGTGTAAAACACAGTGTAGTTTCCTTAATATTTAAAAAACTCTTACAAATCACTAGAAAAAAACCCACACAGTTCAGTAAGAAAAATGGACACAGGACATAAATATGCAGTTCACAGGTCAAGAAAATTAATGAATTAACATATTAAAAGCATTCAAGCCCAACTCATAATTAAAGGAATGCCAAGTAAAACAATGTGACATCAATTTTTAACTATCAAATTGGCAAAAATTTGAAAATACCCAGAATTGGGGGTTAGTATAAGGAAATATGCATTCTCAAACTGCTGGTAGAAGATTCAATTGGTGCAGTTGTTTTGGGGAGAGTAATTTTGTAATATCTATTCAAACTGATAAAACAGACATTCTTTAGCACAGCAATTTCACTGCTAGGAATTTATCTTATAGATATTTTGATATTTCCATGCAAATATATATACATACAAAAATCTGTTCCTTGCAACACTGTTTATAGTAGCAAAAAACTGAAACTCTAAATTTTAGTCAATATGAGACTGGTTAAAAACTGATGGTAAAAGTATATAAAATACCAGCAGTCATTAATAAAGAATGAGGAGATCTCTACATGCTGCTAGAGAAATATGTCCAAGATTTATTCTTAAATGAAAAAAGCAAGTTGCAGAACAATATGTACAACTGAATCCAATGTGTATGGACCTGCACGTGTTTAAGATTTAATATATGCTTTTGCATGCATTAAAATTTTCTGGAAGGACACACAAAAAACTGCCTACAGTTTAATTACTGAGAGTAAAAATGGGTGGTTAAAGGGAAGAGGACACATATACTTTTTGTACTCTCATCTATTTTCACTTTATACTGTGATCTATTTTAAATTTATAAGTATTTTATACTTTAAAAGATTAAAATTAGAAAACAACAAGAAAAAACTAGGTAACCAGATGATTTTTCTACAAACCAGTCTGCAGACTATGTTTATGAATGACTATTTTAATATAAATTTTATATTGTGAAATGATTTGAGTAAATCAACACAGAGAAAAAAATTAAGCTGTTACTTGAAGTTACGGTAAGGCCTTCTCCAAGTGTTAAACAGCACCATGTTGGCTAATAAGGATGATCAGTTAAGCTGAATTCCAAAAGAATGTATTAGGAGACAAGGGAAGCCATTGCACTTTCTATCATTATGTGTAATATTGGAAAGACCCATAAGAACCAGAATTTAAGACTGAAGCACTTGATCAAAGGTCAGTGACTGCAGAAATTTGCTTGATACTATATTCCTTCCATAGCTCTAATATTGTAAACAATAAGAATACCATTTTACCACGAACATAAAATATTACATAAAAGTAATATTTATTATGTGCCCGGCACTGTGCTAATTAAGCATGTTCTGGTCA